GGAGAAGAAAAATATTGGGTTGCCCAGTAAGTTCGTGCCGCTTTATAAGGAAAATTGAAACCCTGTTCTCTTAAATTTTTGGAAATGTTTTTAAATTATATTGGTACGACTCTATACCTAAAACGTCATTTATTATTGGATAAAATTTTAAAAATTAGTTTTTATCTCAACCAATGAAATGAAATTATTCACAATATAGAAATATTTGTGACGTTTGATAATGGTGAAAATCCGAAAATGAATCCACTTCAGCTACAGTCTATTGTAAGCTTTATATCGAAAATCAGAACGAACTTTCCGGACAACCTATAATGTTAATACAAAGTGTCAAATGAATGTAACAGAAGTAGTTTATTCCAAATTGTATCACAAGTATATAGAGATAGAGTTCAATTTTGTCAAATGTACCGATATTTTTGCGCACCTTGACTGCTTCGTTACTTATGACGCTGTGGCTGCTACGATATTTATGAGCATCTTGCATGTACTCATATATTTGACGCTGTGTATGTACCGATGTATTTGAGCAGGGTGAATGTATCTATTATTTTGAGGACTTTTGTTGTACCGATATAATTGAATACTTTTGGTGTACCTATATATTTGCATATCTTGTCTGTGACGATCTATATGACGCTGACTGTACAATGAATTCACTAGCTGTCGCCCGCGACGCCGTCCACGCGGTATAAAAAAAAACTGTTCTATGTGTTCTTACATACTATCTTCTATGAATAATTTCAGCGGGATCCGTTCAGCTGTTCTAAATATACCTTCACACAAACATCTATCATCAAAATCTTCGCATTTATAATATTAGTAAAATATATCGTAGTTAACAAATGAAAGATTTATCTTAATCTCAAGTTCTGTGTAAAGTTTTACTTAGCATGTCAAATTCACACAATCACTGATAACATGAACAAAGGCAAAGTACATTGCTTAGATTCCACTTATCCCTTTGAAAATAATTCAACTGTAATCTTTGTTATCTAATTTTGCCTTAAGTCTTTCTAAAACATTCACACTACATGCTTTCTTAAATTGATGACACATTTATTTGAAATGTGTAAAAGTATCTAAGGGTTTAGGTTCTTAGAATGTTACTTGTATAAGGCTTGTTTTTTTTTATTATACTGAAAGAAAATTATTATTAATATAATTGATGAAATTAAAATAACACATTCATGTCTTCTTCAAAAATTCTTAGTAAAACAGTTAATGTTAACCCTTATGTTCATTTTGTATAGTATACCATACATACAACTTTATAAAAATATACGATGACTATAAAATAATTTTTAACTTAGAATTTTTTTAACTTTGTTTTTTACTTTTCTTCAAAAAAGAAATCTTGGCACAATAAGGGTTAAGTTTAAGGCTTAATTAATTATTTCACTGAAAAAATAAACTAAATTAAATTTCTGATTATTAAATAACAAAATAAAGTCTATTTATTTTTACCTCATTCAGCTTTTTGCACCATTTATTAACATTAATGGCGGATATAAACTACTTTAAAAATGTTATGTAATATTTATATTTATTTAAACATGATACGTTAAGTTCTTACCTCTGCTTTATAACGAAGCATTTAAGTAGGTTAACATCTGTACTATTTAGTCACAATGTATATTTTTCTCACTAAATACATATTGAAAACACTAAATGTAATTTTAATAATATTATACAAACACAGCTGCTTTGATAACAAAAGAAATTGAATAATTATATACACGAAAAGTTACTTTACTGACATCGTATGTTCGCGTAGAAGTTCTACGGCGTAGAGGACCGTTCGCGCGTAGCGGCCGCGTAGCACTGAATGAAATGGATTCACAGCTCTAGCCATTAGTAGGCTTTTTCAGCACTTAAGGTTTTTCCTTTGAGCTACGTAATGAAGGTCGTCCACTACTTGGGGGTATATTAAGCGTTAACACTTGTCATCGTTGAAATATAAAATATGATGATACATTTTCATTTTAAAAAATGATTAAAAATGTCATTATCTTTTTATTAGTCCTTTTGTGGAAATGTACTACACTTAATTTACTTAAGATTTGTAATAACAAAACCATTGAAATTTTTATTCAGACTTTACAATAAGTAAAGTCACTCTTTATTTTGTTTGATATTAAACTACAAACGTTATATGACATCAAACATATAAAATAATGTACGTAGCACTGATTCATAAATATTTAACAAGTATCGAACATCTGCGTAGGCCTTGTATACATATGAAATACAAAGTAGTTTTTATTCCTACCAAAATCAATACATGTAGTGTTCTTTCATAATATGTTAAGTACCTGGATGACCGAGCTTTTAGATTATCGATAAAACACGAATAAAATGACATTTTCTAAAAATGATTCCTTCTTCTTCTTCCTCTTCGATTTATCACACCCGAAACCCCCTATGTACTAAATTATATACAAGACTACTAAATTATATACATATATATACAAGAATTGCTCATTTAAAGATATAAGATAACTCATAATATTGCTGTCCTGTCAAATCACCAAGAAAAATAGATTGAATGTGTATAATTGGTTACATGATGTCAATAATGTGACGATATCGTGTGAAATCTCAAATAATTACATAACTAATAACTTTTTATTTATTTGTAAGAGCTTAAGAAATTCGTATGTCATAGAAAAATATTACTAATATTGTAGAGTTTGTGAAAATGAAATTACTTTATATTATGTAAAAGTTATTAAATAAAAATCATTGATATCTCAGCTCGCTATTACTTAATAATTTTATATCCAATCAAATCATGTTAATACAGGTTACAACAACATTAACCTAAGTTTATACTTACCTGAATTTCACACGAGGGAAGTTTAATAAGGCAGAACATGAGATTGCAGTGCTATATTGCACACAGGTCGACGCAGCGTGGGCAGGCCTCCCGCAAGATGGACCGATGACCTGGTCAAGGTTGCGGGAGCGTCCTGGATGCGGGTGGCACAAGATCGGTCATCGTGGCGATCTTTGGGGGAGGCCTATGCCCAGCAGTGGGCGTCTCATCGCTGAGTAGATAGATTGCACACCATGAAACAGTACACGTACTTACACGTTCCGATACCGTGCACTATTCTGTCTTCGTGTGAAAGAAGCATGACTCCCGCCACCACCCCGTCACGAACACAACAAACCTTCTAATTAATTTAATACAAGCTTAATTATTATAAAGGTGACATGCCACATAGAAATTATGAAGCTAGTTTTGATACAATTCTAAGAATTTTGTGTTTGACGCAAAGGCAATATAAATACATAATTATGGAGTTTATTGTAATATTTGTGTGGAAACCTAATATTCTATAGTTAAATAATAAATCGCGCGTTGGAGATCATCGGTGGCTCACGGTCACGGGGAACTTGACTTGCAAATTGCAGGTCCTGGGTTCGAATCCCGCCATGTACCAATATGTTTTTCGATTTCCGATATGTACTCGTACATTTACCCGACGTTTTCACGGTGAAGGAAAAAAATAATGCAACCTGCACATATCTGAGAAGAAATTCAAAGATATCCGTGAAGTCAACCAACCCCCAATGGGCCAACGTGTGGTTGACTATGGCCTAGTCACCCGTGTCTTATGGTAGGTTCCGAGTGTCTCAGTGGGGACGTATAGTGAGCTGATGATGAAAAAAAAAAATTCTTGGTGTACTGCCACTGTCTCTGCGTTGGTCCAGTTTATTATTGCAACAAAATAGCATATCCTTTGATAACAAAAAACAGTAGTAATGTTTTATTTTGTACTAACCAGTAGTATAGATAAATAACAATACGTAATTTTTTTTACATCATTCGTTATGTTTGTTTGCGAACTCCTGTTCACTTGTGCAACCATTCTATTCAATATCTCCCTCAGGAGCTTTTGTCTTTGCTTAATTGCTCTTATTATTCAGACGACGAAACAATACAATGATTTTATGTTTTGCAAATTTCTAAACATGTTTCCGGGAGTCTTTTGTTTCGAAATAATAACCTCATTAGTTATAGATAAAAATTATTTCTTTGTCAAGAGTTTTACAAATTATTTTAATTAAAATTCATAACCAAATTATTCGATTTTATTTTTTTCTCAGCAACTGGAGATTTCTAGATATTTATTACAGAAAGTAAAAAAAAACTTTACAGAATATTCGTCTAACTAGCCAAAATGTTTTTAAATATTTTATTTATTAACGAGAAGTTGTAATTACAGTTCTTATTACGAGGTTTCAATCATTTTTATAATTGGTGTTTTAGTACAAACTAATTTGGAATATTATTTTTCTATGTTTTACTATGCTAATGTTGCCCTTTCTTGAAAAATATTCGATATTTGACTTCAATAACTTTCGTTTTCAAGTCAAATATTGAAAAACGAAACTTTTATACCTTCAAAGTAAAATAATTTATAATTTAGAAATTGATTATATTTTTATAAAATATCTTCTTATAGTATGAAAGTGGAGGAACTTTAAATAATCTACGATTTTACGTAATGTCACGTATGACATGAGGATAAGCTTTCGGCTTGACCAAATGCTTTAAGCTGTTGACAACATTTGGCACAATTTTCAAGTTCGTAATATCAGAATTTCATTTTCATTTTCATAACAATTTGTAATATCAGATCAAATTAGCCAATATAGGAAAAGAAAACGTAAATACAATTGTAATACGGAGAAAAAGTTAGTTCCTAAAGTAATCTTGTACTTCAATTTCGGCTATCAAAAATGTAAACGTTAGTTGAAAAACATACATAGATTTAAATTCCTATTTTTTTCTAGTGTAATATAAATAATATAGAGAAAATCTTTTATACAGTATTAATGCTTATCAAACATTAATATTTGTACAAAACTAATGTGTGTGTAAAGCAGTCTCAAAAAGTCTCCCTCTCACTGGAGATGTATCGAGTAGTCACAATGAAACACTGGTTATATCTTGGTGCGAGTCAACTTTAATTAAATTCGATCGGCAAGTCGATAAATATACTAAATAAATTGATACCGCGATCTAACAATATGTTCCACCATCTATTGATATAATATTACAAACTAAATTGACATAACATTTGACAGTGTGTACAAAAAAAATGTTAAAAAAGGGTCCAGACAGACAGACCGACGGACGACAAAGTGGTCCTATAAGGGTTCCGTTTTTTTTCCTATGAGGTACGGAACCCAAAAAAATGATTTGAAAAGTGATTGCAATGAATAACGTCAGTGGCATCGGTCCAGCGTAATGAAGGAACATCTGGTAAGCCGACCGGCGCCAAACTGAGTCGGATATCCATATGATACCTATACCCGGTATCCGATAGCCGGTACGCCAAACCACAACACGGATCTAACTACGGAACTGAAACTTCAAACAATCAAATACATATCACTGTTATAAACTCACATTCTATAACGTATTATATTTTATATTACAATTTACTAATATTAATAATGCGAATGTTTGGATGGATGTTTGTTTGAAGGTATCTCTAGAACGGCTGTATGAATCTCGTTAAAATTTGTCATTGATTCAAAACATAATCTGGAAGCACTCATAGGCTACTAATTAAGTTTTTTTTAATACCGAATGGATGGAGTCGCGAGCAATAACTAGTTTATAATAACTCAGCAAATAAATAAAGCAAACAGTACTGTAAATACAAATGAAATATAAATAAACTTTACAAAACAAAAATATACGTTAAAATGGAATGAAACAATTTAATAGTTGTAGTAATAAATTCAATTGTGGTCATTCCCTAATTACAAGTGAATATCCGTTCTGTTACATTCCATTGGTTTCCAATCCGCGGTTTTAGTTTTAATGAACCGTTCAACATTTAAAATGTCCAGTGACAGTTACATTTTCAGGCTGACCGAGCTGTCACAGGTATGATCAACGTGGATCAAGAGATTAAAGTATTAATTTTAATGAACATTTTCGGCAAATGTAGAAGCATGTTTTTAAGCGGATTTGATAAGGCATAAAGTATAAAATAATAAGATGCCGCATTGAAGCTAGAGCATCGGTAGTTCAGGGGTTAAGCACTTGACTTGCAATCTGCAGGTCCTGGTTTCGAATCCCGCTATATACCAATATGTTTTTTAATTTTCGATTTACATATATACATTTATCCGACGTTCTTACGGTGATGGAAAACATCGTGATGTAACCTACACATATCTTAGAAGAAATTGAAAGATATGTGTGAAGTCCACCAACCCGTACATGGTTAGCGTGGTTGACTATGGCCTAGTCACCCCTAACTTAGGGTAGGCTCCGAGCCCCTCGGTAGGGACGTATAGTGAGCTGATCATGATGTCTTGAAGGTTCCGATCATGTAGACATAGACTGTCCACATAATTTTTTTTAATCAAAAATTTTGTATTGCTATACGATGCTTTATAATACCAACAAGACTGTGATATTATTTAAACGCCGTAAACGCTATTGACCTTTAAGTATAAATAACCTTTGAAAGTTTAGCAACAAGTATTTTCATAATTCTAAGAATTTGAATGCCAGCCTCTGCTAATCGGATAAGCGTCATGAGGAAAAAAGGTATTTGAAAAATATATCAAAAATTGGAAATTCCTTCACTTATATTAGGAAGTCCGTATTT